GTAAAATTTTTTATCAGACATCTGTAGAAGGATGTGTAATTCAGCATTTCACCTATTACGACAAAACCTTACCAAAACATATATAAAGACAAAATGTAATATCAAGTTATTATAAATTGTGTCTGTAACCTTGTATCAGTTCATATTAAACATTCATTATTTAGTTGGGCCTCCTCGTTCTCTAATAACTTCCGGATAACGACGTGGAATGGTGTTGATGAGGTTATTGATGTAATCCACTGTGATTTCATCCCAACTTGTCATTAGAAGGTGCTGAAGCTCAACTACAGTAGCTGGTTTAGGGTCGTAGTTAGCACTTTTCCAGCTCAGTTCTGCCCAACAATTCTCAACAGGATTACAATTTGTAGAATTTGCTGGCCATGGCAATCTGTTAACGTCTTCCTGGTCTAAATAATCCAATACAATACGTTCACTGTGGTCATTGGCATTGTCATCCTTGAACACAAAGTTATTACCAAACCTTGCCCTGGCATATGGTAAAAATATCGTCTCCATGTGATGTCTGTAGAAGGCGCCTTTTACGTTTTCCTGGGGGATATGAAGAGCAGTTTTTCCACCATGAAGAATAGCTGCCCAAACATGTACTACGCCACCTCCTGTGGGAAAGACAGTCTTTCCTCGTCTGTTGTCCAGGCAAAAGACGAACACGTATCCTATCATCAGCTTTAATAAGCCGGAAACTGAGCTCATGTCAAAAGATGACATGTCCTAACTGTAAGTTGGTTTGCTGTGTTGGCCAAGTAACACAGTGACGACGGTGAAATTTTGAGTACTATCGTTTTGAAGGTAGTCCTTCTTGCAATATAACCTTGTTTGGTCAGTCTGATATTCACCGTTTTTCTGGATACTCTGGAAAGGAATGACGTGTTAAAGTAATTAAAACACAATCATCTCGGGCAGTAGTGTTTCGGCGTGTACTACTAGACTTTCCTGGAGAAACGTTTCCTGTAGTCCGATGACGTTTAAGGATTCTGGATGCAGTACACTGGGGGTACCCTACTATTCTGGCAATGTCCGTTTGCTTCATACCAATTGTGGACAGTGTAACAATCTGACGCCCTATAACTTCTGGCACGTGACGAGGCATGACTCTACGTCAAATACAGAGAAATTGTCTGAACAAAGTGTTGATCTGTTTCGAAAAACGTTTATACCAAAAGAACACACTTTTATACAAATAAATGCTCAAAACAACTTATACAGACCGGAATAACATGTTTGTCCGATCATACGCTAACTACTCTGTTACTACTCGGACATTTACTCAATAAATACTCCATGCATGTAGACAATGACATCAATGTAGAACAGTATGCAAACATTTTGGCCAAGACTGTAGCAAATGTGAATATATATCACAATATAAGACTTAAAACATATTCATTCAGTCTCCTGATACCAATTATTGTAATTATCTTTGTTAATAAAACTTACAAGATAATTATTAACTTCAACAATAAAATTATATATTAAAAGAGATGCTTTTAAAACTCACATTTAGGCTTAATTTAGGCATTATAGGCCCTGCTCTACAGGACTGACTTTCTCAATTAATACAAACCACCTAACAGATAAAAGGCACACATAGCTATAAAGAAAAAAAAAAGAAAAAAAAGAAACGAGTCAAAAGCAATACACATCCCGAAGCAGAAAACTTAGGATATAACTGAAGCTCTAACATTACGCGCACAGTAATCAGCTCATTCAATTATATGTGGCCCTACCCCAGCATTTTCAGGTCCAATAAATTATCACATTACTGGGATTTAATACATTAATAATTATTACTATTTATCGTTTACGTCTTTTAATTCTTCTAACTTCCTCGAAGAGTCAACTGGCCAATCCTGCCTAGATGTCAACAAGGGGTATGAGCTTCACAAAAGAACAGCTATACCTCTTATACAGAAACTACAACATCATAGAGTTGTAAACTGAGAAATGTTGCACCAACAACAATAACAATGAATGTAACAAACTAGAAGCTCATTAAAGTTCTGTTAATTTATTGAAGCTTAATTATTAATAATATATTTCAAAAAGCACAGACATGTAGCTTATCAAAGAATATTTTGAAAATATTGCGTTTGAAGGTATGATTTTTAAACAAGGATGTTGTACGATAAACCACTCACACATTCACAGCAGTAGTAAAGAAACAGATCTTGTACCTTCCAAGTATTCATGACACTTCAAACTTTACTACATTCACAACAGTAGTAAAGAAACAGATCTTGTACCTTCCAAGTATTCATGACATTTCAGACTTTACTATATTCACAACAATAATAAAGAAACAGATCTTGTACCTTCCAAGTATTCCTGACATTTCAAACTTTACTACATTCACAACAATAATAAAGAAAGAGATCTTGTACCTTCCAAGTATTCCTGACATTTCAAACTTTACTACATTCACAACAGTAGTAAAGAAACAGATCTTGTACCTTCCAAGTATTCCTGACATTTCAAACTTTACTACATTCACAACAATAATAAAGAAACAGATCTTGTACCTTCCTAGTATTCCTGACATTTCAGACTTTAGTACATTCACAACAGTAGTAAAGAAACAGATCTTGTACCTTCCAAGTATTCCTGATACTTCAAACTTTACTACATTCACAACAGTAGTAAAGAAACAGATCTTGTACCTTCCAAGTATTCATGACACTTCAAACTTTACTATATTCACAACAATAGTAAAGAAACAGATCTTGTACCTTCCAAGTATTCATGACACTTCAAACTTTAGTACATTCACAACAGTAGTAAAGAAACAGATCTTGTACCTCCCAAGTATTCCTGACATTTCAAACTTTAGTACATTCACAACAGTAGTAAAGAAACAGATCTTGTACCTTCCAAGTATTCCTGACATTTCAAACTTTAGTACATTCACAACAGTAGTAAAGAAACAGATCTTGTACCTTCCAAGTATTCCTGACATTTCAGACTTTACTATATTCACAACAACAGTAAAGAAACAAATCTTGTACCTCCCAAGTATTCCTGACATTTCAGACTTTACTATATTCACAACAACAGTAAAGAAACAGATCTTGTACCTCCCAAGTATTCCTGACATTTCAAACTTTAGTACATTCACAACAGTAGTAAAGAAACAGATCTTGTACCTCCCAAAAAACAAACACATTTATTTTATAAAAATATACATACAAAGCAAGGAAATATTTCTTTACCAGCGATATTATACAGGAGCTTCATCCTAATGAAAAGATAATTACAAAATTGTTTACTTTTTTTTCTAATTATATTTATTAACTAAGAAAATATTACGTATCTGATATAAAGTAACTGTTTGAATATACACCAATTATGTACAGGGATGAAATCTATTTTATGTGAATTTTATGCACTCCTATGATTTTTAGCATTAATTTCTACGACCTGTCTACTCTTACAGAGAGCACAATTCAACATCAGATGAAGAAGACTTCAAGGTGGTGTACGTTAAGTTCAGCTTCATGTAAGTCAGGTTATACAAATCTGTTAAAAACGATTTCAAAGGCCATAATCAAAACCAAGAAAATTATTGACTTTATCATATGTGATGAAATGGTTCAAAAATAATTGTTTAAAAATGGAGTTCGATAACTACATAGTTCTAGCGTCTAAGTTGCAGAACTAAGATACCATGTTTAAGAAACAAAATCTCGGATTTTATGAACTATTCAAACCAATTCGTTTTTATTCTGCAAAATTTATATTCCATTTAACTTAATAATAATTTATGAATTTCTCAGCTAAAAATATTCCGTGAGTCGAGTTACATATTTCTGTTATTTTGTTACAAAGAAAAACACTAAAATATCAGGAAAGAAATAAAACAACTAAGCAGGTTGGAGACTGTCCAACATCAGTTACTGAATTTCATCTTTTAATCTTTGGAATGTACTACGGTAAGGTAAGTAAAGCATGTTTTCATAACGTTTAGCTTATTGGAATAACAAGATTTTCACAGGAACAGGACTGAATGCATGCTATTAATTAAAATAATCTAAACCTAGGATAAACCTGTTTTTTATGTTTCTTACCAGAATTTGTTTTCAGTTTGGAAATTATGCTTTTAGTGACCTTCTCTTAAAATAGCCAGATATTTGTCAGTTTATAAAACACGATGTTTGTGTTAGAATTTTTTACTCTTATTTTTAATCAATATTTCAAAAGACTGAGTACACTTCATGAAAAAAAAATCTTTACTAACATAATTCATAAATGCCTTTACTGGAAATGCAGGTGTATGTACTTCACTCCCAGGCTATTTTTCTGAACAAGTAAAAAATAAGTCCAAACTGAATTCAAACCCGTGATTATGGCAATAGTTAACAATATTACAGTACCTAATGCTGTAACTTTCAGATTTCACTCGTTATTGAGAGCTGAATTTAGCAGGATTCTTGAGCTGTGCGAACGGTTGGTCAAACTCAAATACTGTTTATTGTCACCTATCGTTGAAAGTCAATATCAATTTCAGGTGGTTTAACATTTTTATAAGATACTCACGGACTACTTAGCTTTCTTAAGAAACTTGAAGGAGGAAGTAGCAGATTGTCTTTCTAGTACAGTATATGGTTCAAAGCATCTAATCTTATTTTGTGCAGTTGGCGAGCTTTGTCTGAAATCTATGACCTCACCAGTGACCTGGAGCCTTCCTTAGTCTCCGTGGCAATACAGCCAGCCTTAATTCCGAATATTAAACGGTAAGAAAGTGATAGTGTCAGACATATCTAACAGGATGTGATGAATACCGTGGATATCTTTTTCACAAGGCATTTCTCCATTATGATTTTCATTTGAAATATCCGTTTGATAACGAAAAACGGAGAAACGGAAGTTAATGGTTTTTGTTTTAATAAATGCTGCTAAAGGTTTTTTCAACCTCCGTTTTATCTAATCCGGTTATATTATTTTGTGAAGTAAGCAATTGTACTTATCTCTTTATAAACTTGAACTTAAACTAATATGAACATAAATTTAATGTAGAATAATTAATACAACAAGAGTATTCGTAAAATCTGGCAGATAAGCAACGAATGTGTAGTTTTGAATAATAAATACAAAACTTAACTTTAAGGACACGTTTATCAAACCTCCAGCACGAACAGTTTCAACATTAAAGTTATTTTAATGTTACACATGGAAAACTACCTTGATTTATCTGTTTTGGTAAAATAACGATTTAGTAAAAAACACTAAAAGTGCCACCCTAGTAATAAACCATAAAATTCGCTGCATAATTTATTTAGGTCTCATTATATTAACTCACGATGTTTAAAATGTTTTGGTATTTTTTTATACACAGATATTTTAAACTGTCATATTAACTTACAATGTTATTCATGTAATAATTATAGTTAAAAATGTATAATAAATTATATTTCGTGTACAATATTACAAACCTGCGATAATTTGAAATAAGCTTTTTAACTTTGGACAACTTGGATTGTGTACTGGTGATAAATTTCTTTTCAAAAAGATAAAAAAAAATCAAATTTTCACTTCCTCCCATCTATTGTAGAGAAGTGCAACTATTTAATCCAATTTTTCTAGGTTTGGAATCTAAATGAGCTAAATTCACAATTAAATATGATTGAATCGTTTCAAACATTCAATTCAAACATATTTGTTTGTTTTTGAATTTCGCGCAAAGCTACACGAGGGTTATCTGCGCTAGCAGTCCCTAATTTAGCAGTGTAAGACTAGAGGGAAGGCAGCTAGTCATCACCTCCCACCGACAACACTTGGGCT